CGGTGGTGCGGCAGGCACCGCCACGGCGCGCCCCGTCGCGCGGCCCATCCCCACCGGCCCGGCGGCCGGCACGCCCACGACCGTCGCCTCGATCCGCGGCGCGGCGTCGGCGGGCAGGGGCGGCACGCGCATCGCACGCGGCGGCGCCGCCCAGGCCGGCGCCAAACGCAAGCTTTCCGCACAGGGCCTCGCCACCGCACAGCCAGACGCACAGCAGGGCGGCGCCAAGAAACCGCGCGCCGCAGGCGCCCCCGTCGCCGTGCGCAAACCAGGCCCAGGCAACACCCAAGGTGGCCAGCAAGGCTAAGAGCAATGAATCTGGATTCGTATCGAGTGTCTGCCAGAGTGCGATGGTACAGGGTATGACTACTTGGATGGAGAAGTCGGCTTGGTGGGTGAGAAGAATGCTCTGATATCAGCGCCTTTGGCCGCATCCTTTCTCCTCCCCCCGCCACTGCTGGTTGCATCATTCGCTTTGGGTGGAGAGCGCGGCTGTTTCGCAGCCTGTTTTTTGAGCATATCGCCAATATCTCCTCTTTCGCGCTCTTTCTTGGGTGAAGACCAGGTGTGTGGTGGAGCTTGCGGGAACGGTTCATGTGGACGTGATCCCTTCTTTCTGCGCGGGGGCGTGACGTGGATACCGCCTCCACTTGCAGGCGATAGCTTGCGGCTGTATCCCCCGCGTGGTCGTGGTGGCGAGACGGGTGGATTGTACGGATCGGGTGAAAAGCGCGAAGATGGTTCCACGCGCGTGCGCTTGCTCGCTCGATCCGACGCCGAGTCGTCGCGAGGTACGTGTTCGGGAACACCAAACCCGTCGCCAACCTCGTCTGCCTCGACCGAGTCATCGTCGTCTATGGCAACGACGGAAGTGGCGCGAGAGCTGGCACGCGAGGACTCCCCTGCATCGACAACGGATTCGTGCGAGCTCGAGTCATTCTCCAGCTCGCGCTGCATCTGTTCGGCTAGCTTGCGGTCTGCTTCTTCCTGTTCCGCTCGAGCAGCCGCCTCGACGAGTGCCGCTTCTTCCTCCGCTTGCTCTGTCGCCATAATCGCCACCGTGTCCTGCGATACCGTGTCCGACTCTTCAGCGTTGCCCGAGGCGACCACATCGCTGCCCGACGTGTGTGTCGACGACTTCGCCTTCTCTGCCTCATGACCCACAGAGTCAGAGTGGGAGTCAGACTTTGCCTGCGTTTGCTTTGCGAAAAACGCCTTCAATCCGTCCCTCCTCTCCTCGACAGGCAGAAGGAAGCTCGGGTCGCTATTGCCGACCTTGCCGACCTCCTTGGGCACCTTGTAGCACTCCAGCTCTGCCTGCAATGGCCGCAACAGCTTGGCTACCTCAGTGCTCCACGAGTCGTCCACATTCATACCTTCCTTGACCTGCGCATCGGACTTGGGTTCCGCACCCAAACCGAGCCACGTTGCGATCGCCTCTTGCGTGGGTAGGATGACCGGCATGCGGTCGTGCAAGAAGCCCAGCTGGTCGTTGCTCGCCGTCGTCACGATGGTGAACGTGTAGAGCGGCTTGTCTTCTCCCTCGAATCGGACTCGTTCCCAAAGACCAGCGAGAGGCATAAGGCGCTTTTCGTGACCGAGCTTGTCGGCACGTCCATGACCAGGCTCGGTCATGCCTACAAAGTGTGGGATGCGCTCGACCTTGTCTCCCTCGGCGCCGCGTTTCTGCCATTCGAAGAAGCCCTGAACAAAGACGACGCAGCGCTGGGCTGGCAGCAGAGAATGCCACATGGAGCGCTGAGGCGAGAGGATGGTATCGTCGCGTGCATTGATCGTCTTGTACGCCTCGCCGTAGCTCGGAGGCGTCTTGTGGAAGCGCGGGATGAGGCCCCACTTCATGGTCTGGATGATCATCTGGAACCTGCGATCTTCCGGCGTCGGATTCGTTGTGTGGCGCAGGCGGCGCTCGCGCTCCCAAGAGAGCTCCCTACGTACTACAGGACATCTGGTTTGCGGCGCGACATTGTGGGAAGGAGTGTAGTCGTCGGCGTCCGGCGCGGGTGTGGGATCGTGTCGGTCAGGGAGCTGTTCGCGCACAGCGGCGCGGTATTGCGGAATAGGCTGTGCGTTTGCAAATCGACCGCACATGTTTTGTGCTATGTGGTCATGGTGTGGGTGTTGATGTGTCGGAAAGAAGTGATGGTCCGATGTGGTGAGCCGTTGGCAGTGCGGGCAAGCTGGGCGAGGAAGGATGCATGGCTAAACGTGGCTCAGCCAGGGTCTGCAGAGCTGCGCATTTCTCCGCACTTTCTCGGCTGACAGACCTCCACTTCTGCACGAGAGAGTCGCATCGGGTGGCTAAAATTCCATCGGGCCAGGCTCTTGCAAAATCACGTGGGGACGCTCGCGGGTAGAGTTGATTCGCGCCTTGCTTCGCTTTTGCGCTGCTGCAGCTGCAGTGTTGGACTGGCCTCGGGTGTTTTTCGAGCCAGCCAGGTGCATGCCTCGACTGCAGCCTGGCAACCGCTACTCTTCCTTGCTTGCTCTTCCTCCATCTCAGCAACAACGATCTCGTTCCTTTACACTCAAGGACAATGGCGTCCTCGACCTCGGACCTCGTGATGTCGGTCGAGCCGATGGCCGTGCCACTCCCGACCAGTCCAGAAACTTCCATTCAGGAAGTGCTCGTCGGTCCTTCCGACCCGAGCTCGCTGGCCGACGCTTCCGCCCAACACCCCAGCGAAAGATCGGATCAGCCGACTGTTGGCACTACCGACACGCTGCTGCTTTCGCCAGCTCGCAAGGCTGTGAGCCTGGCCGGCGATGCAGCTCCACCCAAGCCGATGTCGCCAGAGAAGGCCGCACTCGCCGCCATGTTTGACTCGATCAAGATGCCACCGCCTGTCAGCTCGCCGACAAAATCGCCGCGCAAGGCATCCAACCACCTTCTGACCTCGCCGTCCAAGGGTGGATGCGGGCTGTTTGGCGCATCCAGCTCTCCGTCCAAGGTCGACTCCACCGATTCGGCAGCTTCCCGATCGCCGATGCGCTGCCCCGTAGTCATTCGATCTTCCTCGCCTGGCCTCGGGCATCTGACCACAAACGAGGACAAGAAAGCATCGACGCCTTTGTCTCCTGCACCCACGTCTTCTGCCTCCAGTCAGCATGCAGGGCGGTCGTGGCTCGTAGCTCCGTCCAGCCCGAGCGCCAAGCTCTCGGACCTCAGCCTCGTCCTTGACACCACCGGCACGCAGGAGCTCCTTTTTAATCAGGATGCCAGCTTCCTCGCCGCTGCTGCTAACTCCGCTGCAGACGTCACTATCGACGACAGCTTCGACGTCTCCCGCGCCAAAGCACGCATCCGATCCGCATCCACAGCCGCGCCTGGGCCCAGGCACAGAAGCTCGCCCGCTAAGCTTGGAGCACTGAGGGCAAAGCCTCGCTTCAGCACCGTACCGGAAGACGCGGCGGCCGAGTTCAAGCCGCGCACAGCCTCGCAGGCCGATTCGAATTCGCTGGGCCTGCGCAATCTCGGCGTTGGCCGCGTGGTGAAGAACGCCGCAGGCGACGACACGATCGAGCTCAATCTCACTGGCTCCTTCATGGGCAACTCGAGTCTCGTGCTGGGCAACCTCATGGACGAGAGCGGAGAGGCGTCGCTACTGTTTGGAAACAACTCATTCTCCATCTCCCAATCGCGCTCTCCAGTCCGAGCCGAGAAGCAGCAAGAGCTGGCCAAGGTTCGAGGGGGCGCACGTCGTAGCAAGGATGACGAGGAAGACGATGACGACGATGAAAACGAGGACTACGAGCGCGAGGCGCGCGATGTGCAGAAGTGGGCCGCCGAGGCAGCGCGCAAGGCGCAACAGACTCGCGTCTCGACCTTGGCAGATAAGACGCCTAGTCGCTTCGTCGGGCGCACTCCAACCACAGCTGCGGCGAGTAGGGCAGCGCCTCCAGTGCCAGCCGCAAGAGCGACGCCCCGAGCCTCGCTCACTGCACCAGCAGCTGCTTCGCGCCTCGCCAAGCCGCGCACGTCGGCGGTGGCGATTAGGCCTGTCACGGACGGTGAGGCGCGCCTGATCCGATCTGGAAGCGCTTCTTCCGTGCTCTCGCTCAGCTCGCCCGCACGCTCGACCACGTCGACACGAGCTTCGATGCCGGGTGGCAGTGCGGATGAGCCGGGCAGCGAGGCAAAGACGCCCATGCGAAGCCGACGCAAGAGCACTTTCACCAGCTCGCGCCCGCCTGTTTCCGGGCCCGCACGTCGTAGGGAGTCGCTCGCCGCCGCGGCTGGCGTGCCCGTGCCGCAGCCGCTTCCGCCTGTACCCTCGCTCGTCGCCACCACGCCCGGCCGCTCGCGCCCAGCCACCGTCGCCAGGGTCGCGTCCAACTCGCCTTCGCTCAAGACACCAACCGCCACAGCGCGCATGGCCAAACCCCGGCCATCGCTGACAGGAGCAACGCCACGCGCGTCTGCAGCTCCGAGCGTCGCGGGATCGATTCCGAGACCTCGGGCCTCGTTGACGGGGCGCATGTCGCTGGGACCAGCGCAGGCGGAGGAGGCCAAGACGCCAGCGCCGCGCGCGGGGCAGATCCGATCCGCTTCACTCGTCACACCCTCAGCGCGGGCAGCGGCGCGCAGTGTACAGGCGGACGCGACGCCGCTGGGTGGCATGCGGAAGAGCGCATCGCAGCCGCAAGGGCTGGATGCCACTGGCGATGCAACGCCCGCAGCTCTGGGTGCCAGGGCAAGGACGCTGGTTCCGCGCGCGAGTATGAGCCGCATCGGCACGGCTCCTCCTGCTGCTGCGGCGAGGTCGTCACTTCTGACCACGCCGAGGAGCGTTCGGCCTGCAGCTGTCGAGGCTTCGAGAGTGCGAACGTCGGCGAGAGCAGAAGCCCTGGTGGAGCGAACTGCCAACGCTGCGGACGCGGACGCGCTGCGCACTCCTCTTGCCTCGTCGAAGGTGGTGACGGTGTCAAAAATCGCTGCTCCGGCGGCGGGCAGACCCACGACCACGGCGCGGACGCCAGCCAGCGGTGGGTTCGGGTTCAAGCCACGCACGTCGGCAGTGTTTGTCGGATCGGCCCGAACGGCATCCGCTTCGCATACGAGCGGCGAGAACAAGGAAAACTAGACTGCCTTGCACACCTAGCAATCTACAATATCATCGTGTGGCTCGCCTTTCACACTTGAGCGCGGCAGGCAGATTGAAACGATCGGTGACCATGTATACGTATGCAAGATTCAGGAGCGAGGCGGAAGAAATTTTTTGGGATAAGGAAAGATTCTACTTGTGCTCCTTGACGATGAACGACGGCTTTCCGGACTGCAGGGCGGTCTTGATGGAGCCGAAGACCTGGACCTCCATCTTCTTCTGCGTCTCGACGGTTTCGGTGCCCATGTGCGGGAGGAGGATGCAGTTGTCCATCTTGACGAGGCGCTCGTCGATCTTGGGTTCGGCGGGGTAGACGTCGAGACCTGCGCTCGAGAGCTTTCCGGAGTTGAGGGCGTCGATGAGGGCCTCCTCGTCGACAACGCCACCACGAGCGGTGTTGACGAGGATGGCACCGTCCTTCATCTGGTCGAACTGGGTCTTGCCGAAGCTCTTTTCGGTCTCCTTGTTGAGAGGCAGGTTGAGCGAGACGACGTCGGCCTGGGCGAGGAGCTCTTGTTGCGACTTGACGTAGGTGTACGAGGCGTCGGCGTTCGGGTTGGGGTTACGGTTGTAGTAGATGATCTTCATGTCGAAGGCGGCGGCACGCTTGGCGAGCGCCGAGCCGATACCGCCCATGCCGATGATGCCGAGCACCTTGTTCTCGGGGTCGTGCGCGGGCTTGAGACCCGACTTCCACTTGCCACTACGAGCGTTGACCTCGGCACGGTAGTACTGACGCAAGCTGGAGAGCACGAGGAACATGGCGGTGTCGGCCGTCGCATCGTCGACCGCAGCAGGGGTGTGCGAGACAAGGATGCCGCGCGCCTTGGCAGCGTGCACGTCGATCTGGTCGTATCCGGCACCGTTGTGGCAGACGAACTTGAGCGAAGCGGGCAGGGCGTTGATGAGCTCGGCGTCGAACACGCCGATCTTGTCCGCAGAGTCGTTGTGGCGGTAGATGGCAACGATGTTGGCGTACTTGCCGCCCTCAGCGGTCGCCTTGACAAACTCGGCACGCGAGGGAGTGTCGAGGTGCTACATGTCGCAACGAGGTAGACAAGGAAACAAGGAATAGGAGGGTCAGCGCGCGTTCAAAGCGAGAGAAGCTGGTCCGAGCAAGCGTTGGCGCTACCTACGAGGATCTCGGCGACGGAGCCAAGGTCGTTCTTGAGCTCGTCATGAGCGTGGACGATGGTGCCACAAACAAGGACCTGGGGCTTGGACATGATGGCGACGAAAGAGAGGTTGGAGGAGCAAAGGACGGACGTGAAAACGAGATGATAGCAGGATGGGAAGACAACTCGAAGATCTGTGTGGACAGCTTATATTCAGCGAAGAAGCTGCGAGAGCTGAGCCGAGCAAATGCGTTGGATGGGCGACAGATGAACGTGGGGCATCAGTGCACACACGCCACACGCGCCTCTCTCACTCTGTGTGCAGGGGTGGGGCAGATGTGTTCAGGCACACGACGTCGGTCCGGCCGTGGAGCTTGTGTCCTTTCGCCAACAGCAGCAGCAGCAGCAGCTAGCAGCCTGCCGCTGTGTGCCGGTAGAGTTGGCGCGTTGACCAGGGCCTCAGACGTGGAGAGCTTCTCCACCCGCGGGGGAGCCGATGGCCATCTATTTCGCCGAGGAGAAGCCTTTCCGCACCTCCGCCCATGCCACTCCGGACCGCTCCTCCGGTCCTCCATTTCGAGTCGGCGGCGTGAGCTTCTCGCGCGGGTGAATGTTTTGAGCTTAAATCGGGAGATGGTGTATCTACGACGCCGATTTCGGAAAGTAAGCTTGATTCGAGGAGGCCCTATCGATCCGCGCGCGCACGGAGGTGTTGCTCGCGTTGCACCCTCGCCGCGCGTTTTAGTGTTCATCTTCTCGCAGAGTGTGTTGGCAGCGTTGGCGTGTGCGGTAACTTTTGGTCGAGATGCTTATTATTCCATGTCTGTGCCCTCTCATTGGACACAGCCGGCAGGGTTGCGGCTGCAACGCTCTGCACTTTCATTGCGGCTGCACCTCGGCTTTGGCTCACCCGCGCTGTCATCCTTTCGGCACTTTGAGTTGCGCACGGGAACACTGTTGCAGAGTGTTGGTCTGTGATCGCTGTCATCTTCTGCTCGTCGGTCGCCCTTTCGCCTCGGCCACTTTGCGCCAGACACTGCGCGCCCGTCCGCGCGGTGCGGGTCTGCACGGTCACCGCGATTTCTTCCTGAATGCTCTCCTCGCCCCCTCGCTCGCTCGCTTGACTTGGCGTCGGCGCTACTGGGCTAGGCCGCTCGCCTCGTCGAGGTCGCTCTGATTCCGCAATCCCGCATGCCGTCGCCTCTGAGAAGATCGTGTGCAAGTAGGGCGACTCCAGTGTGATCCGCATCTGCTCTCCGTTGCCAGCCTTGCTTCCTTACCACCTTGTCCCCCCCCCCCCCCCCCC